TACGGGCAATATTGAACTCCAATTCATGAATTGTTTATTTTTATTCTGTAAAATGACTTAGCCATCGGAACTGTTTTGGCAGGCACTACACCGGTGTCAAGAGAAAAACGCTATCGTTTCGGATCGTTACAGGCTAATCTTCATCACCTGTCATTTTAAGAATCATAACCGATTAGAATTTAGAAGTGCAAATGTGCAAGAATACTGCAATTAGCGCTCCTCCTATATATATATATATATATATATATATATATATATATATACACTACATGCGATCCACAGTTTTAACTACTCGGTTTGTCCCACAATACATGTCTTGTATAAGGAATTCAACTTTTTATGGTAGTAAAATTTTAATAGTCTTTTATTATATTGATAACACAATGAGTTTAACAATTGAGTGATATTAGTGGTGATAATTTAAACCCACTATTTAATAAATGTTGAATAGTGAATAACTGAAAAAAATGAAGTATGAGACAAATATTTTTAAAAAATCAAAAATATAATTGAATTTGTGACTTTGTGTACTTTGATTATAAAATGTAATTAGGATAAGTATGTTTCCTTTCTTTGGTTAGGAGAGAATTCGATTTCAAATATATATAGGTTATAAGTGATAAAGTTTTATAGAAATTAATTTTCTTTAAATATTTCCTTATCTAATTAGATTTCCGTTAATTGCTAACTTATAAGATTTATTTTAATTCGTAACTTATTTTATTATTTAGTAAATTATTTTATTATTTAATCTATAAATGATTTTAAACATCTTGATTAAATTTTAATTAAACAATTACCTATTTAATTTGAATTGATAATTTATTTAATAATTTGAAGCAACTTGATTGAATTTAAATTGAACAATTTCCTATTTAATTTTATTTGGTAAGTTATTTTATTATTTGGTAAATTATTTTATTAAATAATTTCCTATTTAATTTTAATTGGTAATATATTTAATGATTTGAAATTAACATCTTGATTCAATTTCAATTTAACAATTACCTATTTAATTTTAATTGGTAATTTATTTTCTTATTTGATTAAATAATTATTATTTTATTTTAATACTTAACTTGTTTTAATAATGATTTGAAACATCTTGATTGAATATCAATTAAACAATTACCTATTTAATTTTAATTGAAAATTTATTTAATGATTTGAAACATTTTGGTTGAATTTCAATTAAATAATTACCTATTTAATTTTAATTGATAATTTATTTTATTTTTTATTAAATTATTTTATTAAATAATTACCTATTTTATTTTAATATGTAACATGTTTTAGTTGTTTGAATAATAATTTGAAATATCTTGATTGAATTTCAATTAAATAATTACCTTATAAAAAGTATTTTTGTAATTTGAATTTTATTAGGTAATTTGTAATTTGAATTTTATTAAGTAATTTGAAAATGGTGATTAATTTTATTAGGTAATTTTTAGAGTTTTATAGAAACTCTTTTATAAAAACTATTTTCATATTAATTAATAAATATTTTTTTTATAGATAAATATGTAATTTGAAACTCTTCTTATAAAAAGTATTTTTGTAATTTGAATTTTATTAAGTAATTTGTAATTTGAATTTTATTAAGTAATTTGAAAATGGTGATTAATTTTATTAGGTAATTTTTAGAGTTTTATAGAAACTCTTTTATAAAAACTATTTTCATATTAATTAACAATTTTTTTTATTTTATAGATAAATAGGTAATTTGAATTTTATTGGGTAATTTTTAGAGTTTATAGAGTTTTTTTTTTATTTAAAAAAAATGACTTTTTTATATCAATTAATAAATATTTTTTAATACTAATAAATAAATACTGAAATACAGATACTCTTTACACATTTAATAATAGTATAGATATAGATATAGAAAATAGATTTATTAGGTAATTTGTTATTTGAATTTTATTAGGTAATTTGAAAGTGGTGATTGATTTTATGAGGTAGTTTTTAGAATTTTATAGAAACTTTTTTTATAAACTTTTTTTTATAAATGTACACATAAATTTCGTAGTCTGCAAATAAAATAACGAAAGATGGGGCAATTTACGAAATTTGTTGAATTTCTATCTGTAATTTTGTATTTATAGAATTCTCAATTTCTGTACTCCTTCCTCCATGTCTCTATTTTGCCCTTATTTATAGAATTCTCAATTTCTGTACTCCTTCCTCCATGCCTCTATTTATAGATGATAACATGTGTCCTCTCATGATAAGGAAATAATCATGACGGGGCGGGCCGGTTATATTGAAAGTGGTGAGTGAGAGAGTATAATTTTTTTTAAGAAACAAATAGATAAATAGGTAATTTGAATTTTATTATGTAATTAAAAAATAAATACTGAAACATTGAAACACTATCATAACTGGGTCGAACTGGTTATATTGAAAGTGGTGATTGAGAGAGTATAAATTTTTTTAGAAACAAATAGATAAATAGGTGATTTTAATTTTATTAGGTAATTTTTAGAGTTTTTTTTTATATTAATAAATAAATATTGAAATACTGAAACTTTCCACATTTAATAATAATATAGATTTAGTATAGATTTATAGAAACTCTTTTTATAAAAACTATTTTGTTAATTTGAATTTTATTATGTAATTTGTAATTTAAATTTTATTAGGTAATTTGAAAGTTTATATCAATTAAAAAATTATAAAAACTATTTTGTTAATTTAAATTTTATTATGTGATTTGTAATTTAAATTTTATTAGGTAATTTGAAAGTGGTGATTGATTTTAGGAAAAATTACATATAGGTAGACATAGTAGCCTAAAATAACAAAATAGTCTAATTTTAAAGTCCATTTTTCAATTTGATTAGATTAAACAAAATAATTACAAATACATCAACAATTATAGTTATGGTCCAAAATATCCTTAAAGCTCTTATTTTAAAATACTAAAATATCCTTAGAATTATATAATTCTAAAATAACAAAAAAGAATAAGGAACTATTATCCTTCTGCCGGACAATAGCGTTTGGTTGGCCCTTCGCTCCTCCTCTCCAGCAAGAACAGAGTTGGCCTTCAGACTAGGTAGGAAAGGTGTGTGTTGTAGGTGATTGCGATGGGACGTATTGCACTATCTGATTCATGGTCAGGCTTGCCGTAGTCCTCTACAGGATGACAATTATCTTGACGAACATGGGAATGGCGAAGTCGTAGTGGGGTCTGACTTCTGAGGGTTGCACCAGCCACCATTGACGTTGGGCACGGCAGGGCGTAGTTTGGCGGGTAGAAGTTAGTGACAGTGACGAAGATGGATAGGCTCCCAAAGTGACACCAACTTTGCCCATTATTGGAAAAGCACAATACTCAGTTGTACTAATTACCATACCCACAAGCTCCACTTGCAGACACACAACAGAAACACCATAATGGTTCAGAAACAAATCAATTTTTGTAGTTTAGTAGTTTGTTGTAGCTAAGTTACCAAATTCTAATTTGTGTTTTTTCACTTCTACCACAAAAAATATATTTTTAATGCTAGACTTTGAAATCGAAAATTTAAAAGTAAAATGCAAGCAATGAGATTGAGTGGTATTATTAGGCTAGGATGAGTAACCGAAGCTAAAGACTTGACCTCTTTTTAATAAAGGAAGTAAAATGCTGACTTCATAAGCGTCCATAAACCGAAACAATTCATAGAATGCTGCACACAGCTATGTAACAAGTGCCAAAAAAAAAAAAAAAAAAAGGTATGATCAAAGGCTTATGACTGGATCCATTCATGACCATCCCTCCATTTCAATCTTTCTCAGCTTCCTTATCATATGCCCAACTAATCTTCCACCCTCCTTAGTTGGTTATATGAGGGATTAAATGGTGGCAATTCATGAGTCTGCTGCAAGGGAGCGTTCTGGAAAAATTAATTCTTTGGAAATTGTTTTTGAGCTTGCAAGAACACCACAAGGAACAAGTCTTCGGATTGTAAAGAATTTGAGAGTTTGTAAAGATTCCCATATGTTCACCAAGTTTGTATCCAGAGCATATAACATAATAATTATGATCAAGAACAGAGTTAAATTTCAATTACTTCAAGAATTATGTTCCTGCAAAGATGATTAGTGAGAACTCCACAACAGTGTAGATTAGTAAGTAACCAAAGTTTAAAAAGGGTGGAATCTCGGGTTAATTTAGTATCTGAGTGCCAGATATATTAAAGAAGTCTGCCCTAATAATTATATTAAAACACAAGATTTTCTGCCATTAAAGAACTTTTAATATGAGTAAAAAAAAAAACCAAGGCAATCTTCACAACTTCCCCATTACTATTTATCAAAACCATCCCACCACCACATTCTTTGTAAGAGAATTATATACAACATCAAAATTGATAATGACAATTTCAAAATATGACTAGTGCAATCATTCATCATAATTTAAACAACCCAAAATAGTCCATTGACACATAAATTTGCCATACAAATAAAAAATTAGTTCACTATTTTTATTTTTCTAAAAGTGAAAAAAAATTAGATCACTAAATAAAACGAAGAGACCACATTTTTGTGATGAGATATGATTAACGACCAATAATTTATCCTGCCAGTGGTGCTTTGCAATTTCGCCTATTATGTCTTGGTTCACCACATCGAGAGCAATGTATAGTAATGTTATTGTCCTGAAATTGTGATTCAATCATTTTTGTACGAGGCCTACCAGGAGGACGCCTAACTGATGGAGGTCTAAGAGAGCTAGAAGTAGACGCATTGTTCATCACCTCAATAGAAAATGGCATTATGCTTTCAATTTCATCCGAAAGTGGCATGTCATGCGTTGGAATAGGTGACATAACTTCTTCAGAAATTTCACTTTGTTTTTCAACCCTCAAATATGGATCAACCATGTCATAAATATTAAGAGAGTATGCCTCAATAGCACAACAAGTGTGTGCACATGGGATGCCACTCATAGTCCATTCCATACAGCTACAAAGATTCTTTGCCAAACACAACCTTGAACCCTTGTTTCTTTAAATCATAAACTGTACACCCGTAGGACCACAAGGCATGCATGAAAAACCATGTGCAGCTAGCTGTCTCTTCTTCATTTTATCCTCAACATTCGGTCCTACAGGGTTTGGCCACCTTTCAGTTTCCATATTCTTTCTGTATAAAAACTCAGTTAGTCTTGTTAAGTGACCATCCATTAGCCTCATAATCGACAATAGTCTCTCCTCTCTAACCCAAGCATTAAAGGATTCTGCTTGGTTTGTGTACATGATATCCCTGTTAGGATATGTGTGCCCTAGTATAGTAAATTCTAATTTTGGATTGTAAAAGTCATGGTTTCTTATCTGGATATTATTATTAAAGCATTATACAATTGGTGAATGGAATATATTATTTGTTTGATTCATTATGGAATTGATTGTGTCCACTTGATTACAAAATATATTTATATGTATGTAATGGCAATTAATACTATGTTATAAATTAGTAATCATAAATGGTTTAAAGTCGGTAATTATAGATAGACATTTAATTAGTTAAGACTTAAACTGAGTCCACGATAGATTGAGATATATTGCGAGAGCTGTCGTATGCAATTGCTCTCTATCACAGTCATGACTTTTGACTCTCAAGCATGAGAGAAGTATAGACTCTTTTATTAATTAATAATTACTTTGATTTGTTCGGCGGATACCTCGGGATCCTTAGATCGACACTTTGGGTAGTTATGTAATTAATAATTAGAGGTCTATATTCTCAATATTTGCATCAGTGCTATTTGTATTTATTTTGTTTTGATTATGGTTGATCACAAATTAAATTTGAAGGCCTTCGTATGTTTTAGACAAATGTTATATATATATATATTTATTTAATAAATTATTATTATTTTTAGTCAAATAAATATTTTATTGTGATCGAGCCGGAAATAATCAAAGGTAACAAAATAATTATATTAATTATGTTGTCGGATTGATGGCTTTAATTATCCGATAAATAATTAAGCATAGAGGGGTCAAAGTGCAACATTGACTTAGAGGTTATTTACTATTTAATTGGAGTGCAATTAATTTCTTTTAGTGGAGTAGAAATTAATTTATGAATTAATTGAATTGGGTCCATGGTTTAATGGACCAGACCAATTATTAGTTTATAGGAGCCAAGAAAATAGTAAGCCCAAAAGGATTCTCACCAATAGCCCAAGTTGATATTGGAGTTATGTTAGAATTGAGAAAGTTGAATTAGAGATGGAGAATGATTTATTGTTTCCTTATTCTTATTTTTATTTTGCCTATATATACATGAGTTCATGTATATTTTAGTGTGACTTTGAAAACAAGAAAAAGGAATACACTTTCTCTCTCTAGAGTTTAGGGTTTTGTTTTCTCTTCTAAAGGAGGCTACCACCAGCCTAGATTTCAAGGTCATTCATCAAGGCATATTGGTGATTCCTAAAGGAAAGATAATAATCAAAAAGAAGGAGAAATGATCTTGCTAAAGGGATCTACAATAAGTGAGAACATTCACTTTAGAGTAAAGTTCAAAAGGTTTACTCAGACCTTTGATGTAAGTATTCAATCTATTTATTGAATTATGCATCATCTTTTATTTATCTTTGCATAAAACTTGTCTCTATGTGATGAATCAAGATCTATGATTGCAAATCCCTCAAAAAATTTTAAAAACATGGCTGTTTCCCAACAATCCCAACGCGGCAATGGAAAAAGAGTATTCGCCCAATGTTCTGGTCCATTTTCTGACACCCAATCAAACAACTCCTTTCGAAAACCAGCCATTTTTTGTAATGCTTTTTCACTTGTCTCTGTTGTTCTTGCATATGCAATCTTATTAAGAAACTTTTTTGCTGTATTCTTAAATGAACCACGCAATTTCAAACCACTCTTACTATTTATAAATTTTGTAAAATTCTCCATTAGGTGCCGAAGACACCATGAGTGACACTGTGAACCAAGGACATCTCTAACCCCACTGATTAGGCTTGAATTTCTATCTGTTATGATAGTTACAATGCGCCCTCCCATGACTTCTTTCACATTTTGTAAAAACCACAACCAGTCCTTATCAGTTTCTCCAGAAACTACTGCATATGCCAAATGATATAACCCATCATCAGCATCATACCCAATGGCGCCAAGTAGTGTGCCCTTGTAATTGCCACTCAAGTGACAAGCATCAATGGATAAAAAAGGTCTGCAACCAACTTCAAAGCCTCTTATTGAGCGTCGATACGATACAAATAATTGTTTAAATTTTCCTTCTTCTGCGCATGTCCATTTTGCAATAGTGCCTGGCATAGATTCCCTCAGTCGTTGACACATCCAAGGAACCAACTTATAACTATCCTCTGGCTTCCTATCAATGGCTTCTTTTGCGTGTTCCTTTGTTCTCCAAGATTGCATGTAATTTATTTTAATTCGAAAATCATTCTTAAAATCTTTGCTAATTTGTCTGGGAAAATAAGAAGGGGTTTCTCGAATCTTATTCATCACAATTCTTCCCAAATCATTTGAACGCACAACTGGTTTGAAATTACTTGCATCTTGTATAGTATGCGTGTGAACATTTTTAAATCTTTTCACCCTTACAGTGTCGGATTCCCCTTCACATCCAGCTGTCAATTTCCATGGATAGTTGTCAACCTTGCACTTGATCCTATAATATGTACGACTATTGTTCATGTACTTGAAAACAAAGCGATTGGTAAATGCAAATAGAGTAATCGCGTCTTTGAAGGCATTTGGGCTTTCGAATAGTTGTCATTCCCCTTTAAGTTTTTGAACATGTCTATAAGTATTTTGACACAGCACAGAAGCAGATTCTTGCAAACTAGAGCCGATAATGTCATTGTTCAACAATTGAGAGTTGCCACAATCTTCATTTGGTTTCCTGCATAAAATTTATAGTATTAGACTAACAACATATTCTCTACATTTAATATATATATATATATATACTTAAAAAAAACATTTTAAGTTTACTAAGACCATGAAGTACCTCAAGTTGATTGGATTAGGAAAGGATTCTTGGCTAACCACCGTTCCATCATCAATATAAATATCGACTATGTTGTCATTTACTATAAACATTGCCTTCATACTAAGATCATTAGACAATCGCAAGAGTTCAGTCTTGTCCATTTTGCTAGTATACCATATCACTTTTCCATGAAAATCAATTAAAAATTGTTGGCACAATATTTCTTTGAAGGCGTCAAACGTCATATTGGTCTTTATTGCAATAGCATCCATAACACCACCTACGTATGTAATGCTACTATTTTCTTTTATTACTTTTTTTCCGCCGCAACGACAAAAACAAACTACGTCTCTGACTTCTCTTTCCATATCTATTCGAGGTTCTCTGCCATCACAAAACTTAATAAAATAATAAAAAAATAAAAAAAACCAAGAAGAAGAACGAAGCAAAAAAAAAAAAGTTGAGCTTACAATCAAATACTACAGACAAATAGATCTACTAATCCGAAGGCCATAACAAAAATACCTGAACTCAAAATTGGTACTCTAGATCCCAAAATCTAGAGTATGGCTTGACCTGTATGCAAAACCAAAGGAATTTGTTTGAAGTGAGTTCCTTTCTTGTTTTATATTATGATTATTAGTATTGGCTTGAACTAAAACTTGAATTAACAACCATGAGGATTGAATACGAGTAGTTATTAAACCACAAAACTTGAATTGACCAGTTTTGAAGACATGAGCATGTGTTTTAAAAAAATAAAAAATCAATTTAATCTTATGATTCCTTTCTAAGTAATATTCATGTCAGTCAGTCAGATCAAGGAATTGAGAATTGGAGAGTTGTTTTGTATGACAGTGGTAAAATTTTCTTGTATGACAGTGGTAAATTGAATTATGCAAAAATTATATTATTTCTCCTTTAATGAAATTGTAGTGTGAAACATGGGGAGCATACTGCTACATATGCAGGCTAGATGTTTTTTTTCCTCCTTCATGTGATTAAGATTACATATGCAGGCTAAATGATATTCTCCTTCATAGCAATTTGATTTCAGTATCTTAGAAACATTTTGAAAAATCATAAATTTTATAATAGCATCATTTAAAGGTTGCATAGGTTTGATAACTCAGTTTTGTCATATGATCTTTATTCTATCTAAATATGGTGATCCATATTGGACAAGGTTTATAAAACATGTATGATTGAATTCATATAATAACAATTGCTCCATCTAAAAACTACTCAATTTGTAAGAAGTCCGAAAAGTAACATTAATCATAAAGCCATATAAATTACAATTCAGTGATATTCAATTCTCACTAAAATAAGATTGTATAACCTTTATTATTCTGTTCTCACAAATAGAACTTCTCACATCATGCATTCCATTGGTATGTTAGGCTCCTAAAGTTAAACTATAACTTTGAAGGACATATTCCTGTTCCTAAAATTGAAACCCAAAGACATTAGGTCATACTGATAGAATGGTACCCACTGGGTCTCAACCACAACTCTATATACAGAATCAACAGGTGCTATATTCATGACACTTATGGTCAGGATGGTAGAGTTTCTGAGACTTGGTATGGTTATGGAAGGTAAACGTGGGGGGGCAAGAGACTATGGGTTATCCTATAAGCCGAGAGATGGTAGGACTATTGTATGACATAGCACATAAACATAGGTTTTTAACTGGCTCTGTCCATCTCATACCAAACCATGGTCCGCTGCACCATTATTGGAAAACCATACTTTTAGGGGGAAATAAAAAAGATTGGAAAACCATACTGACTACTCCTCTATGCTGCATTAAGGACTTATTAGATAATAGAATTACCGGTCTTAAGGAATCTAAACATGATCACAAGTGTTCTGTCTTCAAAAAGTGTTTTGTTTCTTCAATTGGGCATTTAATCAAACAATTCATTTGCATAAAACCAAACCAACAACAATTTCTCCAAACACACAACAAATACATCTTAAATTGTTATATTTATAAACAAAATGTCTTTCTTGCTTCAGAACAAGAAAATATTATTCTACCAGATAAAAGGAGATTCAAAAGTATATGTATAAACATGTAAACTGTACATATACAGAGGGAGAAAATACTGTGTAAAATAAATTTATAAGATACTCCCTAATCGTTTGTCATGCTTGTTATAATGGATTGATTTTCTTCACTCACGGCTCCTTCCAAACACCGGATCCACCTCTTCAGAAGTAGGATTCAATAGTTTCTTAATTGTTTTTTGGTATTTTGAAATTATATAACTCTAAGGATATTTTGGTATTTTAAGATAAGAGCTTGGAGGGTGTTTTGGACCTTAACAATTATGGTTGATGTATTTGCAATTATTTTGTTTAATATAATCAAATTGAAAAATGAACTTTAAAATTAGATAGTTTTGTTATTTAAGGCTACTAAGTCTACCTATATGTAGTTTTCCTTTGATTTTATTAAGTAATTTCTTAGAGTTTTATAAAGTTTATATCGATTAAAAAATAAATACTGAAATACTGAAACTCTTTGTACATTTAATAATAGTATAAATATAGATATATTTTAACAATCATGCATTTTTTTTTTTTTTTTCCTAATTGGTACTCACACATACTTATCTTACTTGAACCTCTGACCTCCTTTTGAGAAGTAAAAGGTGATACCGCTAGGCCACTGACCCGTTGGTAATCATGCATATTTAAAGTCTCTAGCCTTACACATGTTTCAATTCGTTGTGGAGGAATTCTAAAACTATTAAAAAAGTTAAAAAAATGTAACTAGTGTCAAATTATGATAGTATAATAACAAAATAATCTCTCAATATGGTCATTCTTCTATTAATTTCAAAACAAGAAGCCTTATCTAAAGCTTCATCTTTGAAGTAAAATAAAAGTTGTTTTTTCACAAAATGTTTATGGAAAATAGGTTTTATTATGAAGATAATTAATTCTCATTTTGATGCACAAGTATCACCTTTTCTATTTTCTTATTTTTTATTTTTAAATTTTTGAAGAAGATATGGCTGCCTTTTTATTAAAATTGAGAAAATCTCTACAAATTTGCTTCCCATTAATCCATTAAGCATGGGATTAGATTTTATGAGCACTTTAGAGAACTCTGTAACAGTTTATGAGATTCTCTAAGTTGGATCTATAGGCTTTTTGGGCCAAGGCTAGCCCAATTGTAGCCTAAATAGTAATCAATAAATGGGCCTATACTTGGACAAGTTAAATCTAAATTGAGTTTATAGGCTGTTTTGGGCCGAGGTTAGCCCAATTGTGGTAAATGGACCCATACCCGAGACAATCTAACCTCCAAATATATGTCCCAAGCCAACCTATTCAAAATTTATTCTTTGTACTAGATTTGGGCCACTCCAAAGTGTCAATATTTCTTGGCCTACTTGGTAAAGCGCTAACGAATGTATCTGATTAAAAAATACATCTCTGAGACTTAAAATGATCAATATATAATATTGTAGCATATAACTATATAAGCTCCTTTCCTTGATTTTTTACATTTGAGAGACATGTCAACTTTTCATTTATTAATGATATTGTTGAGATGTAGTATTTGTATCTTATGAAAAATATTAAGTGCTGAAAATTGCTAAAAAAAAAAAAAAGAAAAAGAAAAGTTGATTCTTCCTTGAAGCATGTTTGGTTAGGTAGAGATGATTACGAATTCAATCTTAATGCAAACTTAAGAGATAAATGTTTTTTTTATTTAAAATTAATCTTAATGCAATCTTGCAAAGAATTACATGACAATAAATTAAGACAATTATGTCCTTAACAACACTCATTTGACACTTTTAATGCATGTACATATTTCATCTTTATAAAATTATTTTTTATTAATATATGTGTGTGTGTGTATATATATTTGTCGACTACAGTGATGTCAGGAGTGGTCAGAAAATCATGCCCATTGGAATCAGGAACTTTATTAGTTGAAGTCATCGATTTACCATATATAAAATAAAAAAATTCAATTTATTTTACCCATAAGAATGCAATAAAAAATAAATAAAACCTTTGCATCAAAGTGAGTCCCCACACTTCGGATATATGCTTATATATTAAATAACATTTGAATTTTATTAATCTGAAAAAGAATGAATATTGCATTAAATGTTGACTTTCATCATCACATTTAAATAACATTAAATAAATTAATAAATTAATGTTATTTAAATAACATTAAATGTTGACTTTTTTTTATTAAATATTGCATTATATATTAAACAATTGTTTTAACCACATTTTTATTGATTACCAGTATTTCAAGGTCTCGCCTTATGGGTCCTCCAAACACATTAATTGCATAAAAATAAGGTCCTCATTAATCACAACCTATCTCTTTCTTTCAAAAATCAATAATAAATAAAAGCAATTTTATGAGACACATTAATTATTCAGGAAATCCAACATTAATGCCAACATAAGTAGGGGATAACAAGAAAGAAAATTAAATAGAGGAGGATGGCTTAGAAAAATGTGGTCCACTTAGTTATGATTTTCTTTTTTTTTTTTTCTTTTTTTTTTTCATTACATATTTTAATTACTTAGTTCTTATCTATAGTCAAGACTTGAAAATCAGATCCTATTCATTTCAGTTTCGTCTTTTTGTTTATGCAACGACACACATTACTTATGTAATAATTTTATATCGTTTTTTACAATAACTTTAAATTACTATAAAATAATAATTTGTTATTTTAGTTGTAAAGGAATTCTAAAGCTATTAAAAAGGTTAAAAAATGTAATTAGTCTAATAAAAACATAATTAAAATTGAGAAAATTACTACGAGATTTTATGAGGGCACTTGGTGAACTCTGTAACAGGTTTTTTGAGATTCTTTAGGTTGGGTATGTAGACTTTTTTGGGCCAAGGTTAGCCCAATTGTAGCCTAAACTAACTTATTAATAAATGGACCCCAATCAAAATTTATTCTTTGGGCTGGTTTTGGGCCTGTCGAATTTTGTTTCATATATATGAATTAAATCTTAATCCAAACTTACAAGATATATATATATATAGATATATATATATTGTGGACGATAGTGTCAGAAAATCTTGCCTATTGAATCAGGACTTTTGTTAGATGAAATAATTGATTTACCAAAAATAAAATAAAAGATAAAAAAGAACCATTTAAATTTTATTTTAGCCATAACAATGCAATAAAAAAATCTAAACCTTTGCATCAAATTGAGTCTCCATTCTTTGGAGATATGTTTTCTATTAAATAATTTGAATTTTATTAATCTGAAAAAGAAGGAACATTTGCGTGCATTAATTTGACTTTCATCGTCACAATTTTTTATTGTGAAATATCAATGGATTACCTGTATCTCAACATATTAATTACATAAAAACAAGCTCCTCATTAAATGACTATCTATCCCTTTCTGAAAACAATTTGTTGTATGAGACATATTAATTATTTAGGAAATCCAACATTAATGCCAACACAAAAATAACAAGAATCACCTATTCAATTTTTTACTATTTTTTAAATTTAAAAATTTTAAATTTTAAATTTTTATGAGCACTTAAAATATGATTAATTACCACCATTGGTTAATGGTTTTTTTTTTTACTTTTTGTTAAACTGTAAAAGTCATATAATATTGTAGCATATAATAACTATATAGCTCCTGTCCAACTTTTGTTTTGGTAAAAGTTAATTGAGAAACCTTTGGATAATTACTACAAGACTGGTGACAGTAATATTTTTTTCTTAATTTTTCAAATTAGATAGACATATCAACTTTTTTTTATTATTGATATTGGGATGTGATATTTGTATTTTGTGAAGGAAAAAAAAAACGATGAAAATTGAAAATAAAAAAGAAAAAGAAAGTGATTCTTCTCTAAGCGTGGTTGGTTATGCATATAGGACTAGAAGTAATCTTAATAACATGCACTTTTACATATTTCAACTTTATAAAATTGTATATTATTATATAGGTAATTGAATCAGATGAAGTCATTGATTTACCATACCAAAAAAAAAAATCAATTTATTTTAGCCATAAGAATGCAATAAAAAATTAAACCTCTACACCTACTAAGTGAGTCCCATTCTTTGGATATATTTTTTCTATTAAAAAAACATTTGAACATTTGCATTATAAAATATGAATGAAATTATCTCTATTTCAAAGTCACTCCTCTTCCAAACATACTCATTACATAAAAACAAGGTCCCCATTAAATCACAATCTATCCCTTTCTTTGAAAATCAATAAATAAAAGCAATTTGCTTTAAGAGACATTAATTATTTAGGAAATCCAACATTAATGCCAACATAAATAGGGTAGGATGAGTCCCAAGAATAAAATATAAAATAAAGTTAGAAATGTATGCACAAAACCGCAAGTTAGAAATGTATGCACAAAACCGCTTTCTAAGTCGTGGTTTACAAAAATGTGGTTCACTTAGTTATGAAATTTTTTTTTTTTTTTTTTTCAAATACATAGTTTAGAAATGTATGATTTTTTTTTTCTTCTTTTTCTATACTCAGATTTCGAGCTTCTAGATCCTCTCCGGTTTTATTTCATCCAGTTCCTAATGACTCGCATTGCTTATGTAATAATTTTATAGAATTTTTGCAACAATTACATTATATCTTATTTATAACCATTTTTTTGCATTAACAATTTACACGCGGCACAATATCTAGTTTATAGGAGGAGATCTAAATTTCCAACTTGGATACATATTTTGAGCCATGTTGCATATTTTTAGTTTTCCTTAATTAAAAGTTGTCCGTACTTATTGGAAAAAAGTCGGTATTAAAATTTGTCCGTACTCAACGGAAAAAATTAACATGCCTAGTTTGAAGACGTAACTTGATTCATTTTACGACAATTCATTTCATAGTTGCAATCACGTAAAAGTCAATATCAAAATCTTCTTGCCATGCAAAAAATTAAATGATATAGTTATGAATTAAAATTAGTTTAGACGTCAAAAATCAATTCTGTACATAATTTCCAAATATTGGAGAGATACAAGATGTTAAATTCGTGCGAGGGAACTAACTCAAGTTTATGCATGCACGACCATTCATATATTTATTTTCTTTCTTTCCTTCGTGATTTGATAGACGATAAGGTTTGAGCTCACACATGTTTATACATTCAAGACTACTTGTATAATTATTTTCTTTTTTAACTTTTAATTGATTTAATAGACGATCAAGTTTGAACTCACACATATTTATACACTCCGTATATTTAGTTTCTTTCTTTCTTTTAAATTGATTTGATAAACGATCATGTTTGAACTTAATTTTGAGTCTACTGGCGAGTTCCAATTATTTTTCATGATTTGGGAAAAACGAAAGAACGTTTTGAACACCAACCATTTGCGCAAAAAAAAAAAAAAACAAAAAAAACAAAAAAAAAAAAAAAAACCTATATCTCAACATATTAATTACAAAAGAAGGAACATTTGCGCGCATTAATTTGACTTTCATCGTCACAATTTTTTATTGTGAAATATCAATGGATTACCGGTATCTCAACATATTAATTACATAAAAACAAGCTCCTCATTAAATTACTCTCTATCCCTTTCTTTCAAAGTCAATAAATAAAAACAATTTATTTTATGAGACATGTTAATTATTTAGGAAATCCAACATTAATGCCAACAGAAGAATAACAAGAATCACCTATTCAAATTTTTATTATTTTTTAAATTTTTGAAGAAAGAGAGGGTTTTTATGAGCACTTAAAATATATTTTTTCTATTAAAAAAACATTTGAACATTTGCATTAAGTTGACCTTCATCGTCACATTTTTATTATAAAATATAAATGAACTTACCTGTATTTCAAAGTCACTCGTCTTCCAAACATATTAATTACATACAAACAAGGTCCTCATTAAATCACTATCTATCCCTTTCTTTGAAAATCAATAAATAAAAGCAATTTGTTTTAAGAAACATTAATTATTAAGGAAATCCAACGTTAATGCCAACATAAATAGGGTAGGATGAGTCCTAAGACTAAAATATATAATAAAGTTAGAAATGTATGCACAAAACCGCTTACAAAAATGTGGTCCACTCCGTTTGTTTGGATGTAAAATATTTATTAAAATTTATTTTTTATTTTTTATTTATTTTTGATGTTTGGTTGTCGTAAAATATTTATGAAGAAAAAAACTATTAAAATTTAACAAAAATAATTTATCCATCAATATTCGGTAAGTTATTTTACATATCCCGTTTAATGGCCTTTACTTCAACCTCGACGTAGATTGTCAAATACTGAAAAAAAAAAAAAAAAAAAAAAAAAAAAAAAATATTTTCAAAAAAAAATTATTTTACATCGAAACAAACGGAACCTTAGTTATGATTTTTTTTTTTTTTTTTTTTTCAAATACATAATTTAATTACTTAGTTTTTATCTATAGTCAGATTTCGAGATTCAAGATCCTCTCCAGTTCTATTCAGTCCGGTCTCTTATACAATGAATCACATTGCTTATGCAATAATTTTATAGGATTTTTGCAACAATATTAAATCGCATATGCAACAATTACCTTGTATCTTATTTAAAACCACTTTTTTGCATTGGCAATTTACATGCGGCACAATATCTCGTTTATAGGGAGAGATCTAAATTTCAAACTTGGATACATATCTCGTTGCATATTTTTAGTTTTCTACTATTAAAAGTTGTCCGTATTTACTGCAAAAAAGTCGGTATTAAAATTTGTCCGTACTTAATGGAATAAACTAACTTGCCTAGTTTGGAGATGCAACTTAATTGGTTCATTTTACGACAATTCATTTCATAGTCGTGATCACGTAAAAGTCAATATCAAAATCTTCCATGCAAAAAAATCAAATGGAAGATTGTTAAATTCATGCGCGGGAACTAACTCAAGTTTATACATGCACCACTATTCATATATTTATTTATTTTTTCCTTCGTGATTTGATAGATGATAAGGTTTGAGCTTACACATGTTTATACATGCAAGACTACTCGTACAATTATTCTCTTTCTTAGCTTTTAATCGATTTAATAGACGATCAAGTTTGAACTCACATATAATTTATACACTCCGTATATTTAGTTTCTTTCTTTCCTTTAAATTGATTTGATAAACGATCATGTTTGAACTTAATTTTGAGTCTACTAGCGACTTCCATTTATTTTTCATGATTTGGGAAAAACGAAAGAACATTTTGAACACCAATCATTTGCAAAAAAAAATAAAAAATAATAATAATAATAATAATGATTAAACAAGAGAAAAGCAAGAAATATGGATGGAACAAGATAAATTCATTGAACAAACCAAGAAAGAAACACTAAAAGGGAACAAAGATAAAAGCAGCCACGTACATCATCATCTACGTGAAGATAAAATAGCTGCACATCACATCATAAATTGAAAAACAGACAAATTTCTCAAAGAAACATGAAATAATTAGGCCCCAGACAAGTATTGTGGGGAGCAATTGGGAGTAAAGTTTCATCCACACCAGAGTGCACATCAGGCCTCAGCAGATCCATGTACCACTCATGATCCTGCACAGGACTCATCATGCTCCAATCTGCAGCTGCACCCATCTTCATCCCTTCCGCAACACCATTCTGATCATCTCCGCTCGTCCTCGGCACCTCATTCACCACAGCCATCGTTCCTTGGGACACATTTTGTTGTCTCTTGGCAGCCTCAATCTTTTTTTGAATATCTTTGATATTCTGATCAAGCAACCAACCCACGTCGTTCAAATCCATCATGCCCAGATTCTGTGGTACATCTCCTGCTAGGAACCGGTACATGACATAAGTCATCTCCTTGTGGCGATTCTCCTTCTGTATCTTCCTCAGCTGCTCCTCGGCTTTCGCGATCCTGTGACGAACGTAGCTCTCCTGGCTCATCATCATCTGGTTTTGTTCTATCTCCGTCATCCTCCCGAACCTTGCAAGCACGCGTTGGACCCCCAGAGGCGAGGGCCACACCTCCGGTTCAGCATCATACTCGCTGAAAATGATGGCACACGCGTCCACACCACACAAGGTGCTGAGCTCATTCACCTTCTTCATAAACCCCTTCTTTCTTTTTTTGAAGCTGGCTTTTCTCTTGGTATCTTTTCCAATGTATTGAAGCTTCATTTTATTTCTTGTCATGGCCAGGGATGGAGGGTTTAGAGTGGAGATAGAAATGGTTAAGAGCTAGGGGTGGGAATTATTGTCCTAGACACTCTCTTATTTATTAAAATTTAGGGTTAAATGTTCGGACGCCTTTCAAGTTTGTCTTTATTACTCACACATTAAACTAGTGGGAAAAAAAAAAAAAAAAAAGGCATAAACCTCCCTTAGGTTTGGTTAACTTTGCTCTAATACACCCTTTTGTTTGTTTATTGACCGTTAAAAAAGTCAAAAGTCAACTAATTAAAAAAATATAATGCCAAAACTATCCTTAACGGCTGAATATGAGACTTATGTGGCTATAAATGAGTTTGAGATTAATTAAGCCATAAATGACGTGGACCTTGACTTTTTTGGTTTCATTTTCTATTGAATTGGATGTTTAATTGAGACATATGAATGGTAAAGCTAAGTATATGCTTCGTGCTAACTAATGTTTTAGGGTTTTCAATTAATTCAATTCATAAAATTAATGAAGGCAGGGGAAAAAGGAGAAGAAAAAAAGAAATAAATAGAGAAAAATGATGACATCCTATTATGAGCATTATATAAAATATATTAAGTAATCGTCAATTTATGTTATCGACTTAATAAGCTAAATTGTGTATCATGATTCAAAATCAATTTCATAATAATTCCATTGGATTGATTTAAAAATATATATATATTTTCATAATATTAATCAATTTCATAATAATTTCATTGGATTGATTTAAAGAAGAAATCAAGAACGAAATCAGATTGGGAACACTAGATGTTATTTTTCAAATTTTCCGTGAGATGATCAATCATAGGTGTATTCCAGATTTTTATTTTATTTTATTTATTTTTTTTAGTTGGTACTTATACACTCTGACCTCTCTTTGGGAAGTAAGAGACTGATACCGCTAGGCCACTGGCCTATTGGTTGTATTCCAGATTCTTACACATATGGTTCTTGTACTTATTTGATTCATTGTTTACGCCTAACTTAAAATGATATATCTAACGATCAACTAACGGAAGGGGGTGTCAGGGCAAAGTTAACTAAACTTGAGGGGAGGTTTAAACTTTTTTTTTCACTAGTTTAATCTGTAAGCAATCAAGGCAAACCTACGGGAGTGTCGGAGCATTTAACCTTAAAATTTATGCTTGTACAGACAACTATGGCCAACCCTCTTTTCCTCCTTCTCTCTACACCCATCATCGCAGCCACAACTACTATCCATCTAACCCCCCTTCTTCCTCTCTCCGTTCCCTTTCCTCTCCACCAGCCATCGCTGCCACCCCCACTGTCGCAGCCATCGCCACCATCTCTCTCATTTCTTCTTCCTCTTTCTCATCTTCACCTCATCTCTTTAACTATGGCCCCTCCTCCCCCCTCTCTCTACACCCACCATCGTAGCCATAACCACCATCCATCTCGTCTCCTTATCACAGCCATCGCCGTTCTCTTTCCTCTCTACCCACCATCACTGGCAACCCCACTATCACAGCCATCGCCGCAATCTCTCTTCTATCTTCTTCCTCTCTCTCATTTTCACCCTATCTTCTCCACCCATTACCTCTATTGCCATCTGGCTCTCGTCGTCGAGGAGGTGCTCAACGCCACTGCGGATGAATGAGGAGGCGGCGACTATCAGGTGGCATTCACAGTTGTTTTCAAGGTTTAAGATCGGGTAAGTGGTACAGAGTCAGGTGGGATGGTAGTGGAATTGGGGAAGAAGAATATGAGCGAGTTAGACTGATTGGGACTGAGTTGAGTGAGTCTGGGAGCGAGTTGAGTGAGTCAGGGAGGGCGAGTTCTCACGATTGTGGTGGTGGTGTGGAAAGTTTTTAAGCTTACAAGGAAAGATAACAATTGGCTGCCGGTTGGCTAGTTTTGGTCAGCGATTTCGCCGGCGAAGCCATTCAAGGGGGTGCCCCTAAAAGTCGACTATTTTGAAAAGTTGGAGAAAGTTTGTATATGCGCTCATCAACCCCTTCACTGCCACCAACCACCTCTCGAGGAGGCCATAATAGTCTATACTTTCGCTCTTCGCCGTCGATCTGCACCCCCACATGTTGCTCGCCCTCAGCGATTTATTAGGCCTCCCACTAGAAAAATATGGAAAATTTGCAGGGAGAATTAGTGGGAAGATGCAAAAGGAGGGGGATTAATTTATCTTTCTAAGATTTTTTTTTTCCTAATTGGTACTCACACACACATGCCTCCACTGAGACTTGAACCCTTGACATCTCTTTGAGAAGTAAGGCTTGGTATCGCTAGACCACTGGCCTGTTGATTTTTTCTAAGATTTTAATTATATAGGCATTTAAGTAATTTAGTAAGTCTAATATTTTATAATAAAAAAATAATTAAATAATAAGGGGCAATATAGACATTTCACAATCCTTTTTAAGGCAAAAAGTTGACATGGGGTGTCATTATTAAAAAATGGGCTAAGTTACTACCTGGGCAAATCACAAAGGTGTCACTGTAATTAACCCTATTTATTTACATAAGTTTAGTGGACTTTCTATCATTACTCTTCTATTAAATAACATTTGAATTTTATTAATCCGAAAAAGAAGCAACATTTTTATTAAGTTGACTTTCATTGTCACATTTTTATTACAGTATGAAATATGAATGAATTATGTGTATTTTAAAGTCTTCCAAACATACTAATTACATAAAAACAATTAAATCACTATCTATCTCTTTCTTTGAAAATCAATAAATAAAAGCAATTTGCTTTAAGAGACACATTAATTATTTAGGAAATCCAACATTAATGCCAACACAAGTATAGGATAACAAGGAAGAAACTAAAATTAAATGGGATAGGATGAGTCCTAAGACTAAAATATAAGACAACGTTAGAAATGCATGCACAAAACAGCTTTATAAGCCGTGGTTTACAAAAATGTGGTCCACTTAGAAATGTTTTTTTTTTTCCTTTTTTTCTTTTTTCTGTTACATAGGTTGACTACATGGTTCTTATCTATAGCCAGAATTGAGAATCCGGCTCCTCTTCAGCTTTACGAAAGTTATGAATGGAGAGACTATTATTGAGAGTTATGAATGCAGAAATGTGTAGTCTATAAAGGCAATCTCGCGAGTACAATGGTATTGATCTCATCTATCCATCCATAAAATGATAAAATGTCTGTGTGAGACATGTACGAGATGTAGGTATTTCTACACTGCCCAACTCAAATGCACTATTCCAGTATATGCATATTGTGATGACCCTGTAGGCGGGTGTGTCGTGGGCAGGTGTGAGAGACACTGACAGGCTACCACATTGGCGAGCTACGGGTGCACAGTCCCGGATCGCATAGGTAAAGGGAAGGTGAAGTACTTATATGTAGATGTATCACTCCAATTGGTATGAGGCCTTTTGGGGTAAAGCCCAAGAGCAAAACTGTGTGGGCTAACGCCCAAAGCGGACAATATCATACCATGTGGTAGAGTGGGTCGTTACAAATGGTATCAAAGCTTGACCCAGCTGGAAATGTGCCGACGGGGATGTTGGGCCTCTAAGGGGGGTGGATTGTGATGGCCCTGTGGGCGGGTTGCCGTGGGCGGGTGCGAGAGACACTGACAGGCTTCCACATTGTTGAGCTACGGGTGCACAGTCCCACATCACCTGGGTAAAGGGAATGTGAAGTGCTTATATATAGATGTGTCACTCCAATTGTTATGAGGCCTTTTGGGGTAAAGCCCAAAAGCAAAATCGTGCGGGCTAAGGCACAAAGTAGATAATATCATACCATGTAGTGGAGTGGGTCATTACACATATGGTAGGGTCACAACAAATGGTCCGTGTGGTGTGAGTAGTAGTCAGAGGATGTTGTACTTTATCCTAAAATTAATCTTAATAACACTACACATAGATCTTCCCCCAAAAAAAAAAAAAAAAGAACAGCACACATTTGACATTAATAAAAATGACACCATGACACTTCAGAATTTTGTTTTCTCATGGAACTTTGAATCCTATTAGCATTTTCAAATTGCTTTGATAATTTTTTTTTCTTATATATATATATATATATATATATATATATATATATATATATATAGTCCACGATAGTAATGTAGGGAGTGGTCAGAAAATCATGACCATCGAATGCAATAAAAAATTTAAACCTCTACACTATGCTTTTTATTAAATAAAATTTGAATTTTATTAATCCGAAAAAGAAGGTACATTTGTATTAAGTTCTTTCATCATCACATTCGTATTAAGTTCTTTCATCGTCACATTTGTATTATAAAATAGGGTAAAGTGCAATAAACCTCCTCCAACTATAGTCCTATGAGCAAATAACCCCCTTAAATTATTAAAGATGCATATAACCCCCCTCAACTTGGGGGTTTGGTGGCAATTTACCCAATCCGACCATCGGCAAATTTTTTGGCCGTTAAATTGAGTCCCTGAGTACCACATTTAAATTAAATGACCATTCAACCCTTATCATACAAAAATACCATACTACCCTTATATTATACAGATTGTTACCCACTCAACCCAAAATCCCTAATTCTTTAAATCAGTTTATGGATATCTCTATCCTCTTCACCAAATTTTTTCTCTCTTCTCCATCTCCATTGAAGACCAAAAGGCAGAGCTTCATCTCTACACCAAACCGAGAGCGACGTCTACACCATGAACAACCCACATCTTGCACTAAATCCGATCAACACCAATATATTCATATATTGGTTTTTGAAACTCAAAGAACCAAGTACTCACCTGCAATTTCTAGGTTTGTTCTCACCATCGAAGCATGGATGCCATCAATGGATTGGAGTGGGATGATTTGGTCATTGGCATGGCAGATGGTTGTATTTAAGGCCAAGAGAGAACTTTTCAAAGAGAGAGAGAAAAATGCTGGTTAAGAGGCGATGGAGGTTAAGAGAAAGAGAGAGGGTGCATCACCTCCTTGATAATCTCAGAATTTTAGACCTCTTCGGAAACCGATTGACTGGTGCAATTCCCTCGGATATAAGCAAATTGAGTTACACTATAGTCAACTTCTCCGATAAACAAATCTCCGGCGTAATTCCCACTTCTTTCGTCAGCCTAATTCCTCATGTATATATATACATATATATATATATATAGACAAAAAGAGATAAAGGATTGAAAAGGAATCTTGTAAGTTCAGTGAGAGATCGAGCAAGAGGGCCTGAAAGATGCCTGAAAGGGAGTTGGGATTTTTTTTGGAAAGAGAAATAGGGCAACGTTTGTGTGGGTTTGGGTCTACAGTAATAAAAATGGCAATATGGTCTTTAAACTTCCACGGGTTGAATGAGAGGGGTAAAATAGACTTTTCTAATTTTCGGTGAGAGGAGATGACCGGAAAAACCTTCTGTCCTAAGACTACACCAAGACCATAGTTGAAGGGGGTTATTTGTAGTTACGGGAGTTAGTTGCACTTGGGGTATAGTTGAAGGGGGTTTACTGCACTTTACCCTATAAAATATGAATGGGTTACCTGTATTTCAAAGTCTCGTCTCATGGGTCTTCCAAACATATTAATTAATAATTACATAAAAATAAGGTCCCAATCATTAAATCACTATCTATCCCTTTCTTTGAAAATCAATAATAAAAAGCATTTTGCTTTAAGAGACACATTAATTATTTAGGAAATCCAACATTAATGCCAACATAAGTATAGGATAACAAGGAAGAAACTAAAATTAAATAGGGTAGTGAGTCCAAAGGCTAAAATATAAGATCACGGGAGAAATGCATGCACAAAACAGAGCCATTGTTTACAAAAATGTGGTTCACTTAGTTATGAATTTATTATTTTTTTCTTTTTTCTGTTGCATAGTTTAATTACATGGTTCTTATCTATAGTTAGACTTAAGAATGGATCCTGTCCACTTTCATTTCGTTCGGTTCCTTATACAATGACTCACATCGCTTACGCAATAATTTTACATTATTTTTACAATTTTATATCGTTTATGCAACAATTACATTATATCGACCAAGGGTCTTATTCCCTAGTGGTATTTTCTCTACATCTCAAAGTGGACGGTGAGAGTTCAGATTTCCAAAAGAGCAAAACGGGTGTGTGTAAGTTTCTCACCAATGACAAAAAAATAAATAAATAAACAACTATTACATTATATCGCATATACAACTACGTTTTTTGCACTATCAATTTACACATAACACAATATCCCCCTTACGGGAAGGGATCCCAATTTCAAATTTAGATACATACATATTTTGAGCAATGTTGCATATTCTTATGCATTATTTAGTAGGAAGAAAGGAAACTTAATGGAATGGAGAGAAAAAGGGATGAATATATGAAACATCCCTATGGAATAGATTGAGTGAGTCCCTTAATTTCTCTTTTTGTTTGATTGAATGGAAGACCAGAGAATAAGATAATAAATTTCTTTTTTCTTTTTCTTTTTTTTTTAGGTGAGAAGGGAAAATAGAGTGTTAATTATAAAGGAAGTTTTGTAATTTAAAAACTTTTAGAATAACCTTGTCTTTCTTCTTTGCGTCTTCCATCCATATTTAGAGGGATAAAAATTTGTGAAGGAGAAATGATGACTCATCAATCATCTTTTCTCTTCTTTTATTGCTTTCTCTCTGCCAAACGAAGAATGTTTTTCCTTCTTAATTATCTTCCCTCCACCCTCCATCCATCATCTTTTCTCTTCTCTTTTTGCCTCATCTCTACCGAACGAAGAATATTTGTTTCTTCATTCTTATCTTCCCTCCAACTCCTTCCTCTCTATCAAGCAGAATATTAGTTTCCTCGTATTACAACTTGTCCGTATACTTATCGAAAAAGAATTCAGTATTAAAACTTGTCCGTATACTTACCGAAAAAGAAATCAGTATTAAAACTTGTCCATACTTACCGGGAAAAAACCGGTATTAAAACTTGTCCGTACTTAACGGAAAAAACTAACTTGCCTTGTTTAGAAACGCAACTTAATTCATTTTATGACAACTCAATTCATTATCGTGATTGTGTGGCGATCTATGTCAAAATCTTTTACGCGTGCAAAATTAGATGGTGTAACTCAAGATTTTGTATTAAAATTAGTTTAGACCTCAAAAATTAATTTTATACATAATTTTCAAAGATTAAAGAGATACTCCATGTTAAATTTGCCCGATGAGGTCGCTCATGTTCATGCATGTATTACTAGCTAGCTCATGCACGACTATTCATATAAGGTTTGAATTTAAACATGATAATTTATTCATGCACGAATATTCATATATTTATTTATTTTCTAGTTGGTACTCACACACACTTGTCTCTTTTTGAGACTTGAATCCTGACCTCCTTTTGAGAGGTAAAAGGTTGATACCGCTAAATCACTGCCCGTTGGTTCATATATTTATTTCTTTCTTTTCTTTAAATTGATTTGATAGACGATCAAGTTTGAAGACGCACAATGATTATTGATGCACAACTACTCATATATTTATTTTCTTTAAATCGATTTAATAAGCAATCAGGTTTGAACACACATAATGTTTATTAATGCACGACTACTCATATATTTATTTTCTCTCTTTCCTTTAAATCGATTTGACATGCGATCAAGTTTGAACATAATTTTGAGTGTACTAGTGAGCTAGCCGATTATTTTTCATGATTTGGAAAAAAGAAAAAAAAAAATTGAACATCAATCATTTGGAAAACAGTAGATAATATATATATAGAAAAAGAAACATAATGATTAAACAAGAGAAAAACAAGAAATGTGAACATAGATCAAACAAGAGAAAATCATTGAACAAACCAAAAAGAAAAAAAAAAAAAAAAAAAGAAAACACTAAAAGGGAAAAAAAGATAAAATAGCTACACATCACATCAAAAATTGAAACACACAAATATCTCAAGGAAACATGGAGTAATTAGGCCCCAGACAAGTATTGTTGGGAGCAATTGGGAGCAAAGTTTCATCCACACCAGAGTGCACATCAGGCCTCAGCAGATCCATGTACCACTGATAGTCCTGCACAGGAGTCATCATGCTCCAATCTGCAGCTGCAGCCACACTCATCCCTTCTGCAACACCACTCTGATCATCGTCTCTGCTCGTCCTGGTCGTCGCCTCATTCACCACAGCCGTCCTTCCATGGGACGCATTTTGTTCTCTCTTAACAGCCTCAATCTTGGCTTGAATATCTTTGATATTCTGATCAAGCAACCAGCCCACGTCGTTCAAGTCCACCATGCTCAGATTCCGCGGTGCATCTCCGGCTAGGAACCGGTACATGACATAGGTCATCTCCTTGTGGCGATTCTCCTTCTGTAGCTTCCTCAGCTGGTCCTCGGCTTTCGCGATCCTGTGGCGAATGTAGCTCTCCTGGCTCATCATCTTCTTGTTCTGCTCCATCTCCGGCATCCTCGCGAACCTTGAAAGCACGCGCTGGACCCCCAGGGGCGAGGGCCACACCTCCGGCTCAGAATCATACTCGCTGAAAATGATGGCACACGCCTCGATGCCACACAAGGTGCTCAGCTCATTCACCTTCTTCATCAACCCCTTCTTCCTTTTTTTGAAGGTGGCTTTTCTGGCAGTTTCATTTACAATGTATTGAAGCTTGACTTTCTTTCTTGTCATGGCTAGGGTTTGGATCGATGGTTTAGGGTTGAGATTATTGTCTTAGAGACTCTCTTATTTATAGTGGTGAAGAGATATTAAAATTTATGCTTGTGGATTATGGAGTTAGACTGTCAGAAACGTAAATTAGTTGTATATATTAATTGTATTACCATGATTTTAATAGGGGTCATTTATTTGGACAACACACAATTATCACTTTCTTTGCTTCTCCCTTTGGATTGGTCTCACTCTGGTCAGATTAATCTATGCATGCAAGCTTGACCAACCAACTTGCATTTCAAATTTCATATATATAACATATAAATATATATTTATATTATATTAAATATATTTATATTATATTATATATATATATATATATATATATATATAATCTTTATGAGAATATGCTATTGCCTAGTAAATGACAGATAGTTTGTCTGATATTTTATCTTTAGCATCATGTAATGCCTAAAAGTAAAAAAATGACTAAAGGATTGGTGTAGTGCACGAAATCTTGCAATTGCAAAAATAAAGAAGCGCCCATAATGGGTAAAACTAGTAGAATGTTGATTGCAGGAGTCCGAACCCTATAGACTTGTTCCTAGTGTACTTTCGAGGAAACACAAAAATGGTCCATTAAAATAGTATTGCCTATTTTAGGGGATCATGATTCCTTACTGTGACTGGAATCTGTTAAATCAATAAACTAATGATATGAACAAATCAATTGCACTTCTATTTTGGTTTTAATAATAAAAATAAATAAAACATAATCTGGGAAATGAGATGTTCATAAATTTGGCAATTTGGGATTTGTTCAATTTGAACGGACAGGTCACATTTATTTAATGGATGGTTGTAATCTTATCTATAGTTCAATTTATGCATTAATCATTTCATTATTCTCTGTATATATTATTTGGTAACAAGAAAAATGCACATTAAAAGTATATTAACAGTACAGAAAAAAAAAAAAAATTCAAATGACAGGTTTCAAGATTAACAATTGATTATGTAGTAAAGCTTCATCTGATCGAGTTCGCCCACATTAATTCCTTTTTTCCTTCTCTTGTAACATGCATGTGGTTTTTTTTTTTCTATTTTATTTTTGGCCAATTAGTCATTGAAGAATAATTGAGAGATATGATACTGTATCAACCAGGGACGGAGCCAGGATTTAGTTTTAGAGGGGCACAAAGTAGTAATTTACAAATTATATACCTATATGTGTGAAAAAATTTCATTTCCAAAGGTATTTTTGAAAAAAATTAAATTTCAAGGAGGGCACAAAGTAATATTTTATAAATATTATACCTATATATATATATATATAATAATTTCAATGGGTCAGCTTGGGCCCAGGGGGGCACATGCCCCCCCGGGCCCAAGCTGGCTCCGTCCCTAGTGTCAACCAATTCATTGTGCCAGCCCCCTAGGCCCAAGCTGGCTCCATCCTTATTGTTGCTCTGTGTGATATTAGGAAATATGGACTTCCATCCAGACAAGGATCCTCTCCAACTAAATTTCTTTCGAACACCTTGTGAAACTTATGTGAAGGTTAAAAAATATTCAAATCATTGCAATTACAATTCATTATGTACCATAACTGCATATGTAATGTTGTTAAAGGAAATTATAAGATGACGTGGTGTTTTTCCAACCTTACAAGTTTCATGGAGTGGTAGAGAGAAACAAAGCAGGAGATGATCCAAATCTCATCCAAAACGAGCAAGTAGTGGGTACCTCGGGTATCGGTAATATAGTACCGCCGGTCAATCTTAAATTATAATTTCCTATTATAAAGGAGAATGGGGAAATTTAATTCGGTGGGGTATCACATAGTAGGAACCCCGGGAACCCTAGAGTATTAAAAAAAAATTTCGTCTTGAACCGCCTTCTAGTGTCTGAAATAAATGGATGACATTCACTAGAAAATTCTTTGAAATAATTAGGTACTATCTACATTTTAAATTAGGTTATAATAAAATAAAGAATTCGAGTCGTCTTCTATGCATTGAATGGTTCAGTACACACGTTCAAGGTAAAGATGATTCTTGAAAAAGAGTGTATTTTGCGGAAGGAGTGAAATCCATGAGAGATCTCTACTCTTTTCTGTGCACGGAACGGTTGAGTACTACAACAAGATAATATCCAAATTCTAAAACAAATAGCATTGTTGTGGGAGTTTGTTTTTTAGGAATTCTAAAGAGCCCTGTCTATAGACAAATACTAGCAAATTCTTTTATTTGGAGACAAAAGTCATCTTATGGGAGGCCTCATACACATAGAAGGTTACATTGCAATACAAGAACCACCCAAAAAATAAAAAAGGAAAACAAAAAACACAACACACAAACATTGCAGCCCCAGTTGTTTTGTGATAGTGAGAAATAACAAGTTTACAAATGCTTGTTAGATGGGGGAGCTGGTGCCCCTGTTGTGTTAGTCAGGTACTCCGATCCGGTGGTACTGGCATCGGTGGTGGTGGTGGTGGCAGAGCCAAACGGATCCGGGTCGCGATCATAGGCGTTCTCTAAGCTCCCAACATTCCCCCGGGCTGTGGACTCTGATCCATACTTCCCCTCATGGTTTGCTCTCACTCTATCTGCCACTTCTGCAGCTTTGTTCACATGCAGATCCATCTTAGCTTCAGCTTCTCTTGCCAGTCTCACCTCATGAGCAACCTCAGCTCGAGCTCTCGCCAAATCCTTCGCCTCCTATATATATATATACACACACACACGCACACAATTTGAATTTATAAAGATGAATACATCAATGCACAAGATAATCCCAAAAGTCCCAATGATGTATTAGGACAAATATACTTTGTTTATGAAACTTCTTGTACAACATTTCTGTCATGATATGTAGTCCCAAAGTCCAGACAAATCTGATTGTTTTGACTGATTGGAGATAACGTTAGTTTTACTATGTTATCATGACGTCAACCCCTACTCATATCAAATAATTCGATTAATGCATCTGTCGAATTATACAACATATTCATTTTGAATAAAGATTTGCATACCGATGTCGAAAGCCTAACGTGAGATAATGTTGGGGCACCACACCTCTCCTCTCGACTCTCACATTTGACATTTTTCCAACTTTCAACTCTAAATAGAATAGTGATGTTATTTTATGCGACAATCGATTATTCTGACTATTCACTGGGCCTATGTGGCCCCCACAGATAACATAAGGCCTGCAAGCAATCAGGATAACTGACTGTCGAAAGGAAAAGAATGATTCTAAATAGAATGAACCATCTGCAAGTTCATGTTGGAAAACTATATGACATATATTAATACGTGTGTCTTTGTGATTCACAGTAAACAAAAAATGGAAACTTGATGCACTTTTGCTAGGCTTTCCCCAATTATATATGCATGCTGCAAATTAACTCGACATAGAGGGATGAAAAATTATGATGTTATATATATATATATATATATATATATATATATATATATATATATATATATCTGTTCTTAATTACCTTTTCCTCTGCTTTGGTTTCAGCCTTCACCTTGCGCATTGCGCTCATTTCACCTAATTTATCCTTCACAACCTGCATTTTCTTTTTCCTTAATTTCTTCCTCCTTTAGAAAGAAAGAATTCAAAACAAATATTTGACTTTAGGGAGATATATATAATTGTTTGAGACAATACCATGCTATGTATATTATATATAGATATACCTTCAAAGTCCACATGAAAATAATGGCTAGAATGCCAGACACGTGTCAGTTATACATAATTTTGGTGACTATGGTATGTAGTTTGATTTGAACGAGTATGCATGTTGTTAAACTAGTGGCTAAAAGGGAATTTGCTCATTCATTTAAGCCATATATTACCATCCAATACTAGGTTGAAAATTTTCTCAACACCAAGAATTTTGGTGCCTAAGGTATGCACGTGAAATCGTGAACGCTTCAATTATAGCCTTAATTAAAACTCAAATTCGTACATTACAAATTTCTCATTTAATTTGTTCACAGTTTTATAAAATAAAAAATAAAAAAAGTCTTGGAACACTATAATAAAATATATGGCATTGTTGGAGTTTGTGGTCACTGGATGTCTGTTTAATTGGTAAGAAAAATGGTCTACTAAGTGCAATGTATTTTAGGTCCTAACCGCATAGCAACGTTGGCAGGAATTCGAAAAATAAATTCTTAAAGTCTCGCTTTCGAACCGTACTCCTGATTTGAATAGCGTGTTGTGGGATCGATACACATGCTACATTCTACATTAAAGTGTGGATGATGGTGACATCATCTGAGCTGAGCGTGGGTCTCACCATAACATCTCAGTGCAATTCTTTTTCTTTTCTTTTTTTCCTTTACAGTGAAATAGAAGCGAGAGTGATGATAAAACATTCGAAAATCCAACAATTCCAAATGAGGTAATGTGAGTGGGAATTTCAAATAACTCCAAATGAGGTAATGTGAGTGGGAATTTCAAATAACTCCAAATGAGGTAATGTGAGTGAGAATTCCAAATTTCAAATAACTCCAAGTTATGAATGGGAATTTCATTCGGTTCACGGTAGACCTGATCATCTAATATCAATGTCCAAACCCAACTCAAATATACGTCTGGAGAATTTTTTTTTTTTTTTTTAATTCAATCCCAATAACCTAAATGATGCAATGAGTGGGCCAAGCCCATCTATGAACGGATTAGACTCATGTTGAGTTTGGATTAGCCCATCCAAGTTGTACACCTATTAGAGTTTGCTCTTCCTTGATCATTACCGTAAAAAATAAGAACAGCTTCAAAATATTTTTACATTCCAAACATTTCTCAGAGCATCCAACACAAATACACAGGTTTTATTTTCCAGTGACTCTACAACAAAGTTCAGCTTCCACGATAAGTGCAGAAAGAGAATGGTGAAAGCAGCAGTGGAACATGAAAATGTTCCCACTTCTGTGACTCCCTAATTTCAAACGCAATAGATACGTAGGGAAAAAACCCGTTCGGGTTGTATTTGCCTGTGTTGAAACTTATCCGGTACATACCTGGGTTCAAAGCATCAACTATACTCATCAAATGGCCACTTCGTCCATCTTTGTCTGTCATCGAAGACCCCTGGATTGCCCAACTGCCATGTTCTGTCGCGCCAAACACCGGGTAGGGTTGATTGCCTTTCCACATCTCCAACTGCACTTCAATGCCAGCGGCAGGTGACCCACGAGCAACATCCAAGACATGGGTTGTGATGGGTGGGCGAGTCCTGGCTGGAATTTGAGAAGGAATTCCGGTAGAAGCTTCAGATGCAGCAGTCACGTGTGCTCCAATGATGCTCACACGATCTTCTACAATGTAAGAAGTAAACATCAGGTTTATGTACAATTACTATAATAATAGTACTTCTCTAAAAAGAATCGAAGGGTAAGGGAAAGTAGTAATACATGCTGGCAAAGGCAAGTGATAGAACTTGTCGAGTGGTGAGATGGGCAGGAAAAATAAAGACTAGTTCAGGATCCCCGAACCATTAAAAGCTCAGAATAATTGGATGTAGGGAAAATATTATGAAAACAGTTTTGAGCCAGTGAAGGAAATGATCTAATATTTAAGCCACTTTCTTTTATAAATAAGCTTCATAATGAATTTGTGGGGAAACAGCAATGCATACCAAAAAGTACAAAAAAAATATGTAAGCTATATATTGCCTGCCATTTCATGCTGTCATATTTAAAAATTCATAATATCATGATAACTCAGAAATCATAAACAATGCTTGCATTATGCATAAATAATTCACAAAGTCGACATAAGGTTGCAAAAGTCAAAGAAGGAACAACATATAACTTCAGACCTTCCGGTATTAGGAGAAGTACCACAATTCCAACCACCAGACATGTAAAAATTCCCATCAACAATCATTACCTTGTCCCATACCATAAATTTATAGAGTAGGAGCACACTACAGATCGATATTCCGAACTGGAAGATGAAGTAGCAGACCACTCACTATATCACTGATCATCATACAAGCCACACACAGCATGATGTTGCTTACTTAATGAACATAATCTCATCCAGTTCGCTGGTATATTAAATGGTTGCTGAAGAGGTAATTAAAAAATATATAAAGCTTACGAATAGGGAAAGCATAGTTTAGTGCTGACACTCCAAACAGGCAAACGATGGAAACAAATAACGCTAAAACTGACCGACTGTGACACTGACCAGAGAAAACTTTCATCTGCAGAAGGAAAAAGATGACCTGATAATGCAAATTTACCTCCTGCTTTGTTCGCAACATCCGCATTATACTGGGCACTAGTGATTGAAGTAGCAATTGCTTTAGTTGAGAAGAGCTTGGCTAGACGTAGTTCAGTTACTTTCATTTGTTCCTGAGCTGCAATCTCAAACTCAACTATCGGCCTGTTTGGGTAACGTCTCTACAAGAGAACAAAATAAATAAGCTATGTTACATAGACTCGGGTACGGGTGTTGGACACGGGTATGTATCCATGAGTTGGACGTGTTAAATCTCCAAATAGAAGGACACACGGACAAGGCTAAATATTCATTTTATTAGTTATTTCATTTTATTTTCTAAAATAAAGTGTGTGTGTGTTTTTTTTTTTTTTTTTTTTTTTTTTTTTAATTATTATTATTATTATTATCATCATCTAATATAATGTTCAATATAGGCATTTAACTCATTTTAAAGTAATAATATAATGTAATTCAATGATTGGATATGCTTTTTAAATACATGTCCAACCAAAAGTGTCGGACACATATCCCATACCCATGTCCGAGGAATAACGCCAAGCTATCAGAAATTTGATTTATTTGAATCCTGTTGCTTCAAGGGAACAAGTAAAATGATAGTAACGGAAAAAAGCAACATAAAATGCAATGACTTTGAGAAACAAAATCATACAAGTCTGTCGATTGTATTTAAATATATCACATTAAGGGAGATTTGTTTTGTCATTTTGTGAATATGTCAGACTAACTAGTGGTAAAAAGTTGGATAAAAACTTCCTACATTACTCTATTCCAGTATAAACAATAAATGCCAATAAATATCAATCATTATCCAGGTTGGAAAAATTCTTCATTCAATGTCATTACTCAATTGTGGATGATCTTTAACTTCCTCTTTACAATGGAAGTGGCCAACCAGAATCCACAAAAAATACAAGAGATTTTAAAAAGGGCCAAACTGATAGGTGCTGGAAATTTTTAATATTAACGCAGAGTCTTTTGGAAGAATCTCTACAAGAAATGATGATCACAAAAATTATCCCCGCTATATGCAACTATATTTTCCATAAATGTACTCTGGTGATACAAACCACTCACAGAGAAGGAAGCTCCATTTTTGGATAACGTCAGCTTGAAGAAGTATAAGATAGTTCAAGCTTTACCTTCAGCTCGGTAAGTATTTCAGGAGTACTCCTTCCAGATGCACATATTAGAAAAACAAATCCAAACTTCTGCCTATACCGAGCATTCCAATCAGATAGATCCTGTAAGGACAAGGTGGACTATATTACCCTAAAAGCAACAGAGAGGTACTGCAGTGTAAAAACAAAAAACCATAATCAGAATTTTGTGTGTGCCTGCACATGTGTATTGTGGGATAAATGTCAATTTAACAGTTCGTTCACAAATCAGAAAAAAAGAAGACTCGAACTCTAATAAAATACGAAGTGAAGCAAAACATAGAACTTGTGGGCTCACAACCCAGACAGTGGCTGTTTTACCATTTAGTTTCCCTTGACCTGCCATAACATGTCTTTGGTATCTTTGATTTTAAATAAAAGAAAATTTTATAATTGGTTTTTCATTGTTACAGAATACCTGCAAGCTAGAATCACTGGCAGTCGCTAAAGCGGTTGACTGCTCTCCTTTGCTCCACCTACAAAAAGGTAACTACACTTGTTACTTAGAAGTTACAACTAGATATTTACTCATAAAACTAGAGGCTTAGAAAACGAAGTCATATCCAAAGGGAGGCAAACAAGGACATCAAAAGTTTCTTCCAGACTTTCTCTTCTTTTACTTATTGAGTTGAACCCTGATAATGATCAAAATCGTCGATTGGTCCAAACCATCTATTAGCTGTGCTGGAAAACCAACCTACCTAACCTAACATTTGATTTTTAATTAAAGTAAGAAAATGTTTCTAAAGTTAACTAAATATTGTAAAAACCAAATGCAGGCACATTCAAGTGATGGAATATCATCCGGGAATCCAATAAGAACACTATTCCAACCCACACAGGAAAGAAAACTACTTGCAGCAATCTATATATGCATTGAGTAAGATGTTTAATGGACAGAAGCTTAACATGCAAAAAGAAAACTTCATATTACTGAAAGCGTAGATGTTCATGAAAATTAGCTACATTTTTCTTTAATCAGAAAGCACGAAACTGTGGTCCAGACTGATGCATTCACTCAAATCAATTTTAGTCGATCTCTATCAACTGTTTGACGTTTTATAATTGCTTTGGACGCGTAAGTTCTCCTAGAGAAGCATCTTGAACCTAGTACATAGTCCAAATGAAGATAATTTATGTACTTTCCCCTAGTAATTTACTGTTAGGAAAAATGTTACCAGAGTGTAATTTTATGTAGGAACATCTAGGAGCAGTTCATGTGAAATTCACAGTACCAATGTATAAATTCACATATATACCTAGAAAAGCGAGAATGACTTGCCAGATCCCGAAAAATGCAGCAAACATCCATAATTCATAGTGATACAAACAATAGTCTCCCAGGTTACATGTATTTTTTTAAATAGTCTCCCAGGTTACATGTACCATTAACCATGAGATTATAGATTTTATAAGGGACAGGAACCAGTTCTTCATGGTATCTACACATGCGCAGGTATCATCCAAATTTTCTATCTTATGCTGTTATCTATCATAGACATGAACATCATGGACAGGGACGGATCCATGTGAGGCCCAGTGGGGGCACTTGCCCCCACTAGAATTTTAGAATTTTGTATTTTACGTAGAAAATCTTAGGTAATTATATAAATACCCCCATAACTTTATCCTTTGCCCCCACTGGAATTTTAAAAATTCCTATTTTTACCTAGAAAATCTTGCAAAACTTTATAAATGCCCCATAACTTTATCCTTTGCCCCCATTGACCCCTTTTTTTCTCTCACTCACGCCCTCATTATTGTTTAAAATCACCCCCACCGAAACAAATTTCTGGGTCCGTCACTAATCATGGACGTTGTTCAACAAATATGAAAGAGATATTCAATTATCAGCATTAATATTCAGATCATTAAACAACATCTTGTTTACTAAGGAAAAAATAAACCATTATTAAATAGACTTTTTAAACTAAAGCATCATCCTTAATATATATATTCTATTAAGCAGTATGATAGCCAATGAGGTAATGCATGTCACAAAAATCATAGTCATATTACATGTAATAAATTGAACTCTTATACTGTTTTCTTATTCGAGATTTTCAATATACTTTTTTAATTATTTATGCTTTGTATGCATTACTAATTTTGTTATACATAATACATTAATCCGGCGTAACAAACCATATTAGCAAAAATTATCCATATAAGCAGAAAGTTTTGCCATAACTTATCAACATTCTAACAGACAAATGAATTTCTTTTGATGATAGCGAATTAGAAAAAGACTGGTCATGTTGCATGTGTTCATGACTTCTTATCATTTGCAAAGGGAATCACGACATGCATGTTCATGATTTTGTGTAATTTTCTTTGTTTTGGTCTTAAATGATTACAACTACCTAAAATTCAGAACACTGATTATTGAGTTTCATTCTAGGTCAGATCAATCCAAATTTGAACCTACATGAAACTCTTAAATCATGAGAGTTTATGTGATACTATAAAATATAATGAGAAAAGAAAACTATTTTTTTCAATCTCAGGAATTTATATAGAAAGATGGGAATGAAAAGAACATGGAAGTTGACAAATCACAGGATATGAAAATCCTTTGACTCACATGAAAACTTTGAATATTTTTAGTAAAATTACAAATTCTTATGGGAAAAAAGAAGAACATTAAATATTAACCCCATTTAGAGCCAAAAATTACAGAATTAAAGTTCAAAAGACACAGGCTCGACAAATACAGAGTTGAAATTTCCAAAATGAAAATATTGTTTACTTTTTCATGACATCTAATTTGTTTTTCGGTTTTTCTATATTCTTTATAAGGCATTTCTTGATAATCAAAAGAAGAAAGATAAAATAAAATAAGAAAAACACAAGCATTCAGAAGAAGGCAACCTGGAGCAGCCAGAGCAGACATTCAACCTACCCACTTGATCAAAAGGAATAATCTGATGACATTTCTTATTATGGTCCCAACTAGCCCCTCTGAATTTGAAAACCTGTTAGTAGGAACTCTGCCAACTAACACAAAAAATAAATAAATAAATCACACATTCGGAGTTTCCTTGATTTCTTCTCACAGTTAACTTGGATCTTGTGCTTCACGAATTTATCAACCATAATTAATCTTAAAACAGCTAGGGGAACAGTCACTGTTGCGCATCAGATTCCAAGAATAATATAAACAGAAAATTTTCTGCATCTCATTAAAGTTTGTAGTCTAGTTCTTTTCATACAGCTAAGAGTCTAGAGTCTGTAGCAACTGGAGGAAGGGAAACAAAAAACCTTTGGTCTGTCTTAAAACAACAAATCAATTATCGATTCCTTCAGCAATAACAATGGATTTTGAGATCCCATTTAAATAAATAAGGAGTTCGTTGTTGTTTGCTCTTCTTTAAGCAAGCTTTCATTTATTTCCAATAGTTTCTTCCAAACAGTTAATTAGTGTGGCCTACAAGGTCTCTCTTATCTCTACCATGTCTCCATTCCTCAACCTAGATTAAAAGTCCAAGAATCATAATCTACCACTGAAACCACAATGCACGTGACAAAATTAATTCTGCTACAAGCTTCTATTTCTTTGTCAATGAATTGTAGCCTTTCTATATCATGTAGGTTAGCACACGGGATCCAGTGTGCAGCGTCGATGCTGAGCAGCTTCATCTCAGCTCGATTTCTAGATAATTTAGACTCGATTAATTTCATCCTCACTTGCAATCCACAAAAACCCATCATTATGTGATAAGTGCGAGAATTGCTTACGTATGAGCTTCATTTTATAAAAATCACCAAAGCTAGAGAACACACTGTGGGTGTGACCATGGCCTACGTGGATCAAAAGAAAAGTCAAACAAAAGCCACAACAACAGAAGATAAAACCTAGGAAAACAAATGTCGTCAACAAGACACCGATTGGCAACTCTTGAAGACACAAAAAAAAATCTTAAAAGACTCTATCAGGTCAAACAAACCTCGAGACGCAATCCTCGAGTCCCGAAAACTCTGAGACTCTCTCAGGTCAAATAAACCTTGAGTTCCGAAAACCCTGAGACTCTCTCAGGTCAGACAAACCTCAAGGAGCCTCGAGTCCCAATAAACCTGGGATACTCACAGGTTAAGCAAACCTCAAGGAGCAATCCTCGAGTCCCGAAAACCCTGGAACTCTCTCAGGTCAGACAACCCTTGAGGAGCGTACCTCAAATCTCAAGAAAGCCTGGAGCCCTCCAGGTCAATCAAATCCCGAGGAACGAACCTCGAGCCCCCAGCAAACACTGACTAGGCGATATCCCTCAGACACCAAATAGCTATTGCCTGAGACACCTAGAAGGATCTCAAAAAGCGGGCCCAACCAAAGAAGTGGTGAAACAGTACCAAAAACCCTTACCATCCCAATTAATGTTACAGGTGGACTAAGAAGCACGGACACGGATACGGGACACGGATATGACACGAAACGGACACGGCGACACGGCAAATCCAAAAAAATTAGAATACGGACACGGCGAATAGTGTATATATATATATATATATATCAGCATTATTAATTTAAAAAAAAAAAAACACTGATATGTTTAGGTTGGAATATATATATATATATATCACTAATATGTTAGTATATATATATATCAGCATGTTTAGGACACGGACACGGCGAATTGTGGCATCTTTAGGTTAGTATATATATATATATCAACATCTTTAGGGTAGTACAAAACAAAAAATAGAACATATCAACATTAAAAATTTTAAAAAAAAAATTCCAGAAAAGTGTGTCCGAACTGTGTCCGAGCTATCTGAGCCATATCCATGCCGTGTCCGAAAATTTAAAAAAAATAAAAAAATTCCAGACACGTTTTTTGGCGTGTCCGACACGTGTTGGAGCGCCCATTTTGGAGTGTCCGTGCTTCCTAGCAGGTGGACCATTAAAGCTCAATTGTCGACACAGTCAAGGAACCTATGAATTTAATACCTCCATTAACCATTTAATGTGTCGCTGCCACCCGAAGTAGAACAGAAGGAACGATTTGACCCCTTAGGTGGTAAAGGCATAACTGGCTTAATTATGACCTATGATTCTAGATGCTAGGTAAAGCCCTGTCGAGCCTCGAACCTCTAGATATTAATAAAAAAAACCTAGGACTATACATACAGGCACGGTGGAGCATTAAAGGCAAGACTCAAGCAACCAAGAATCACCATAGCCATAATCCATTTAGTCTTTGTCATTGGTACAAACATTCCTGCCTACACCCAGATATCCTGGGTCCGTCCCTACCCACACCATTAACTTCTCCGATTGATCTACTTCTCCTCCTTCTACCAGAATCTCTTTCTGGGTTCCTCAACTTGTATTAAGATATACCCCATTATAACTATTTGTTATACTGTGCTACGAAGCCCCACCCCTATAGACACCATTTAAGAAAACAATAGAACTTTCTGTTTTTTGCAAATCCTTTTAAACTATATAAAAGCATACTACAGTTCAAACAGCAATAGCAATGACATATTTTACAAACCTATTGCCCAACACAACAAATTAACTATTATCAGCTACCAATATTTTCCATCATCATCAAATTATGCTTATTGAAAGAAAGAGCAATGCCAAAAAATAACTAATCAAGAAGATTATCACTGCCACAAATATGTGTGCCTAGCTGCATATATTCACACATACATATATATGATGAATTTAATCCATAAAATAGCAGAAATTGAGATAACCGAAGCATTGAATTGAAGTAATTGTAATCACTATATGTATAAGTTTATACACATATAGAGATAGAGAGATTGAGAACTAACTCCGCACTGGTTGGGCTTTTGTGGTTGGAGGAGGGGCTTTTACCAATCTGGGGATGAGCCGCGAATGCTTCCAGCCAACCATTGACATCAACCTGCAAATTGATCAAAGACTTTTCAGAGAAATAGAGAGAGAGAGAGTAGAGAAATAAGTTAGAGAGAGAAAGTAGGGACCTTGTTAAACCAGATATCTCTGGCGGCATTAACAGCTTCTTCGTAGTTGGCAAAAGGACCCGCGGAGGCCATCTCTTTCGCGAATTGAGTGCTCCCGCAGCATGCCAAGAAATCCTTCTCCTCAAACACCGATCCCATTATTCACCTCTCTCTATCTCTCTCTAGAATTTTCTCTCTATATCTTTATTTATATATGTATATCTTCAGCTTGCCCTCTCTGAAATTCGCTTTTCTGACAGTCCCACTGGAAAGCAACAAAAATGAGAGAGAGGGGCACGATGGGGAAGAAAATGAAATGAATCGTGAATAACAGCCTGTTACTCGTATTTAGGTGACAGACTAATGTAAGTTGTGAAAGCAATAATAATGATTGCAGTCAACGTCATTTTTTTCTTTTTTACGGTTTTGATGTCAGTGATTAAATAGATATACTTTGCTTATATATAAAATTTGAAGCTCAACAAAATCACATTTTGACTGATGATATTAAGCACGCTTATTAAAGAAAATATGAACAATTAAATTTGCACGTATATGAATTTTTTTTCTTTTTTTCATTAGAATATTATTCAAATGAGGGCAAAGAAATAATATGATTGAAATTTTTTGAGTTTGTCACCAAAATCGGCCGTGGTATTAAATATTTTTAAGAGTATTGTATAAGTTATTTATTAAAAATAAATAAATAAATAAATTCATCGAGTTTGAATAACAATTTGGATTCATCAAGTGCCAAATTTAAATTAGTATGAATAATAGGTTCTTCCTTTACGGAATTCTTATATGTTGCGCTAAAAGCATTAAATCGGCTGCTTGAAATTAAAAATAAAAAATATTTAATTGAAAATTTGAACTAAATTAGAAATTTTTAATTCCATTGCACGTGCTCTCAAACACATAACTTAAATGCACACATTGAGTTTCTATCTTGACCGACACTGTGTGGACGATGCATGTATAGCTTGTTTACATCATTTAGAGAGTATTCTCCTATGAATTAATGCGAGAGCTGGTATTATTGTGAAAATTGTTTTATTATTTTTTATAAAGCATCTAAATATTTTGGAAAAAAAAAAATCCTTAAATGATTAGTAATGGTCCCACTAGGTCCTATTTGGTAACTGTTTTTGTTTATTGTTTATCATTTAGCTTTAAACAAAATGAGTGAGTGTTTATGTGTAGCTTTTGTTTTTCGGTAAATGCATATATTGTTTGATAATGTACATAAATTTACCTTATTTTAAAAACAAGAAATAGAAAAATAGGTTTGTTAACCTTAAATTGTAGTATTTAAAAAATTCAACACCAGTTTTAAACAAAAAAATAAAAGTATTTATGAAGTATTCAATTATCCTTTAACAAGGTTGCTCACAACCTTAGAAAATGGGTGCTCGTAAAAAAAACTATTGACCTTCAATGGAATGTGATCCTCTTAATTATCTAAAGTCATAGAGAATAATGTTTGTTTTATTTCTGAATTCATTATAAACATCGTTGGGACGTTATAAAATTGACATGTGTGAGCAAAAATTATATAAGTGAATTTATATAATCAATAAATATAAATAATATTAATAAATATCGATATATTTTCAAAATCTGTTTATATAAATAATAAATTGTAAACATAAATAATTACTGATATGTCGTCGTCAATTTATGGCACTATAAATTCCCCAGTTTTCCAGATTTTTCAACACTGTTTGCTCGTTACGTCATCCAATTTTATTAATTTGTCTAGAACTAAAATTGCATTCTAATCTTGAATTAGATACTATGCACGCGCGCGCATATATATATATATATATATGATTACTGAGTAGTAGAAAGCATCAACTTGATACATCCTATATTTCATTTTCAATCATTCAATGGCGTGCATTTGATTGCAATGTCAAGTAAGGAGAAGTAAAATAATGAAAAAGATTAAAAACCAATGTGATAATTAGCATAATGGCCATTCAATCTTCAATAATTTATCTGTGGTATTGAAACACATTTCTTCGATAATTGAGCAACAAATTTTTTTTTTTTTTTTTTTTTCAAATCAATGAAATTTTATAGACCTCTAAATTACTGTTAAATCGATCTACGGAGTAATTTTTTTTTACTATTACTATTATTTTGAATATATGAGAAAAAGATAGAGAAACAATAAGTTTGAAAATTCGTTGAGTTTGGATCACCTTGGACTCATCTAGCCCAGTACCTTTCGGTATCATAATTAGATCCATGTAGTTCTGGGCCCAAAGTACTTTGACATAACACTCCAAGTCTCCAACACAATGACTCGGCCCACAAATAGATAATATTTGTAACCTTACGTAATACGGGGAGTTTGTCCCACGTCGGATCTAATGTAAAAGTGAATGAGTATAAATAGGTGGGTATGTAGTACTAGTCGATAACTTAAACTTTTGGAGAAATAAGAAAGCGCCCACCCATTATAACTGGTATCAGACCCAGTCCTTAATCTGGTGTCACGCCACCCTTTCGGGTAGGCAGAGTGGCTCTACCCCAACAACGAGGGTGTGAAAATATGACTCTTTAAAAGGCATTTTCGGATATATAAATGAATGGGTATGCAATACTACTAAATAATTTAAATTTTTGGATAAATTAACCAGCACCCACCCGTTACACCTCCAACCTTTTTTATTGTTATTTTTTTTTAATATCTCGTTTCACTGTTTTTTCTCGCAAGTATAAATTATGACCGTGCCCGATGGTTCTTATAAGACTCAAGCTCGCCTTCAAACCTCTTACCACAGCTAACAACTCTACGCAAATACGATCTCAAGGTCATTCTGGTGGCACAACTTCCACAGCTAACAAGTCTCCATAAATAGGATCTCAAGGAAGTGAAGAGATATTCACTCATACGATCTTAAGCTCGTTCTAGTATTAGCACAACCCTCTCCACAAATAGATCTCAAAGATGCTAACAACTCTAAACAAATATGATCTAGTCAAAATGATACTCTTTGTATTTATTTTTTATTATTTTTATTGAAGTAAATTTTCGCACGCTTTTATCCATGTCAAGACTCAAACTCCTCACCTCCCTCACTAGAATGTTTCAAATTATTCTACAATGATATGGAATTGTATAGATTTGTATAATTTTTTGAAATAAAAAATAAAAAAAAATCTGTAGACCCTTATAGCTCTCTTAGATATTCTTTAACAACATTGTAGATAATTCTCAGAGCTCGAGTCACTTAGATCGATAATGTAGTTCCCTTTCCTTAGTCTATATAAAGAGGTGATAAATTTTTTTTTTTTTTTTTTTTTTTTCATCTCTTTATTTTTTTAAAACTAGTTTGTACTCCTTTGTTTAATATCTATACGCCAAGACAACTATACAAGATAATTATGATATCATAACTATCACGATAAAACAATAATTTAATTTTCAGAGTATGTATGAATTTGCAGAGTATACATCATAATTATCCATTCAAAATTAGATATTCAATACAATAGATAAATAAGATTGGATTTTGAATATACAATTATATTATTTGATTCTTTAGAATAGACCGTAACATTTATAGATTCATACATAAAACACAAATAGTCATACTACATCAAACCGTAAATAAGAAAAGCGCGCTGCATACTACATCAAACCTGTAAATATCCAATAAGTTTAGTTTTTTTTTTTTTTTTTTTTTCTTTTCTCTCTTTTCTTTTCATTTAACCATTCACTAAACCCAAATAATCCATTAACTCGGGAGGAAAACAAGGGTACCTCCTCCATGAATTCCCATGCAATCTGAAGATCTTCACCACTTTCTCCTTTGTTGATGACCTGCCATCCATATGCAACACTGCAACAAGTTTCTTGACCGACCCAAAAACAAGCATTTCTTCCAACACCCTCTCCGTGGGGCAAAAACTACAAATCAACCATAATATCTTCAGTCCAATCTTTGTTACAACATTTGACACTCGTAACATTTTCTTTGATATGGCAGCAATCCCTAGCCCATGCTCGATAAAGGCCAACCTACCATCCGCGCATTCGCATAATAATTTGATTAAAAGCATTATTTTCTCACATTTGGATTGATTTGAATCCGGAAGCAGCTCAACAAGGACACAAATGGCACCGGCTTCAATGGCCTTCACTCGATTCTTCTTCGAAGAACTTAGTATCTCTATCAAAACTTCCAAGGCACATGAACTTGCTTTAGTACACATCTCATCAGAAACAAGCTCTAGCAACGACTTGAACAAATCTATACCTTGATCATGTGCCACAAAGTCCCAATCATAACCAGCTTTGCCCATCTTTTGGAGTATTAAAATAGTGTGAAATCGAACCGAAGCACTTCCTCTTTGAAGCATGATTGCCATGGACTTCACGCACTCCTGCTTCGACAACAATTGGATAATATTTCCTTCCTCTTCTTCCCACAATATTGAGAGTTGGTGTAGAACACCTAGAGCCTCCTCACAAGCTCTAAAACTATTGAAATCCGAGCTCTCGACTAAAACTTGGACAACTATTAGAACAAGTTTTTCAACCCCTTTAGATTGTTTAAAATCAGCTTTCACAATATCGTCGTTTAATTCGATAATGGATCGGAGTTTCTTTAAAGAACTAACCTTGAATGGTGTGGAGTCGATGGTGTCGAGTAGGGACACTATCTCATCGTGCTTGGTTGATGGAAAAGACTGTGAACCGCCACTTTGCCATGAAAGGATGAGCCTCTTGAGGGTGTGGTTTGGAGTGATCAACTCCAAATTATCAATGGTTTGCATCGTGGCCGGGCAATTCTTCTTGTTGTAGGTGAAGAACCATTTCTCTATGCTCTTGCGTTCATAAGTGACTCCTGTTGAGATGGTGACAGGGTCTTTCATGAGCTCCTTGGAAATGGGACATCTGAAATGTTGAGGAAAGTCCATGGTTTGTTCTAGATCTTCTCCATCTCTGCTATACATGAAAAGAGGGGATATATATATATATATATATGCGTGTGTAGATATATAGATGAAAGAGTTGTGTGGAAGTTTAAAGAAAGAAAAATCAAAGTCAAAACTAAAAGTAGATGATGACTTTGCCAGCTGTGTTGTTTTGTCCCTTGTATTATATGCTTTATTTGTGGTTGACCCTTGATCGAGTTAGTGCGATTTTTCACTGAGTGATGCTGGACATAATGACATATTGAAAAATTCATAGCCCGAGACAAATTAAATATATGTTGAATTGATTGAAAGATAGAATTTAAATTTTAATCCTGAGTTCATATAATATAATTTAATACGTAGCTAAATGATGTCATTTTATCATTATCTTTTGTGTATTTTTTTTTTCATAATCTAATAGTTAAGTTTTGTTGGAAAGCATTTTTCATATCAAAATTGGAGTTCCTAAATGCAGAGTAATCAATGAATAGTTCAATTTTTTTTTTTTTTTTTTTTTTTTGTAAGAATAACTATTTATATGAAATGAACATCTCAATTTTTTTGTGGCTTCCCAAACAACTCCAAATCATTCACACTAACAATCCATCCTTCTCCCCCAAAAGGCGATTTTAGTAAATAACCAAATATAATAGTTGAACGAAGGGTTAAGTAGAAAATTTTTCTCACATCTCTCCCAGAAATCCAAGGTATCATATATCTGAGAAAAGGTAGAAGAATGGAACATATTATGGGACATACAATACATTACAGACGTATGATTGTTAAGTTCTTATCACCCTTTTCTTGTGAACCATAAGATGAACTTAAGGCACTTAGGCACTTCTCATCTAAAGATTAATTTAATAATTTCATATTTTTCGTGTATTTTATAAAACGCTTCCAACTTTGAATGTTAAATAATTATTCAAGATTTCGAATTTAATTAGTTTTTATATCAATTATAAACTTGCAGATTTGTTGTAAATTTTCCTTTTAATATGCATGCATTTATTTATTATTACTATTATTTTGAATAAATTACAGTAATACCCCCTGAGGTTTGTCATATTAATAACTATATACAAGTTAGAGCTTTTTGAAACAATGACACTCCTTGTTAGAAATTGCATCCAAACAACCCCTAAATGGTTATGAAAAGTCGAAATTGTCCTTTAATATTTTATTACTTTTAATGGTAAAATATTAAAACTCTTTAAAGACCAAAGTGCCCTCTGTGTGAGATCAATACCAGCCACCCATTTTTTCTTCCCTCGTCACCTTCTGTATGACATGGCGGTGTGGTGAATGGTGATTGTGTTTGTGGGTAGCGATGGTATGGTATATGCTCTGGGAGGATGAAAAGAACAGAGAGAACCAAGGCCGTTGGAGTTGTTGCAGCCAGTGCTGGGTCGGCGTCGGGAAGGATCGGTGGGTCAGATTTCGCCGTCCACATCGTCATACTTAGGTTTGGTCGTCGATTCTCTGACGAACGTATCTCGTTCTTTGACTCACCAAATCTCTTAACGAAGAATTGCATCTCCGTCAATGACTACGACCTCGTGATCGGCCATGGGCATCCACGCCTCAATTTGGGCGTTCACTGCTGCCGCCAACAACCCTACCTTCGCATTCGCAAACATGAGTGAAGTAACAACTGCCGTTGAAGATGATTCGCGGGACGCCGATGGGGTCAATGACGTCGGGGAACCACCGGACCAGCAGTGGAATGTGTCGGTGAAGAGGCAGTTGGGGCGGCGATTGAGATGGAGCTGCTTGAGGGGGTTTTGAAGATAGAGATTGGCTGATGTCGTCGACGAAAGAGATGTGTTTCGAGATTCAGACGGAGAATCCATTATCGCAAAGATGCGAGCAGGAGTGGCAGATCGGTCGAACCGGCTGTAATCCGATGCCAGAGACCCGATCACAGGTGAGTCCTTTGCATTTGGAGCAAACAGTGAGGCGATCGTGGCGAGCTACAAGGATTGAATCAGAGTCTCAAACCCAATGAGAATGTAGAGAGAGAAAGTTGAGAGGAGAGATAAGACAGATGGCTGATGTGTAATGGTTGTTGCTGAACTATAATCTTCTTGGACCTATTTTCTTAAGATGTGTGGCTAGGATTGAATGGGACTATAGATTGGTGGTCCAAAGACTACCTAATAATGTCTCATCTGGTAGGTCTTCTCAGCTTTAGCGGTGGTGTGAGGGCTAAAAAGGTTATAAAGGTAATTTTGTAATTCAAATGGATTAATTCACACTTGAAAGGGTATTCAGGTCATTTTAACTTATGTCAGAAAGGACAGGGGTGTGTTTGTTAACTTTATCAAACCTGAGGGGGCCTCATTGTTCAAAAAGAGACTAACTTATATATGACTGATATTATGACAAACTTTAGGAGGTGTCATTATAATTAACCCTATTATTTTTTAGCTTTAGTAGTAACTATAATTCTCTAATTTAACTATTAGCTAACTATCTTTTGAAAGTAGTTGTGTTTTTAATACATAGGCTGAATTCAAAGAAATTTTGCTATTTTTATCGTAAGTTTGTAGAGGACAAAAATACCACACACTTGGATGGCTGATGTTTTTACATTTGGTCAAAGTCAATCCTTTAATTAGATGATCACATGATGTGTTTTCTACTCACACTTTCAAATCAAAAAGTATTATCCACGAAGCTACCGAACACGTTAATTATTTGGCTCGTATTCAATTTAAAATTACTCAAATAATTGTCAATTATCTATACTATTGACAAATAAATGAAATATTAAACTCATACAAATGACTTGAAGTTTATCATATGGCTACTAATTATTTAAATAATTGTCAACCATCTATACTATTGGCAAGTAGATGGAATATTGAGCTCATACAATGACTTGAAATTTGTCGTTGCATTTGAGATTGAATACGAACCAAATAATTATAGTTACATTTTCTCTTTGAAATTAATAAGGAATTGCTATCTTCGCCGTCAATATCTGCTTCATCCCCCAAACGATAAACTTTAAGTCATTGTATGAGCTCAATATTTCATCTACTTGCAAATAGTATAGATGGTTGACAATTATTTGAGTAATTCTAGATTGAATACGAATCAAATAATTATAGTTACATTTTTTCTTTTAAATTAATAAGGAATTGCTATCTTTGCCGTCAATATCTATGACTATGTTTTTAAGTATTTGCTTGATTTGCCAAACGATAAACTTCAAGTCATTGTATGAGGTCAATATTCTATCTTATTGCCAATACTATAGATGGTTGACAATTATTTGAGTAATTCTAGATTGAATACGAACCGAATGATTATAGTTACATTTTCTCTTTTAAATTTATAAGGAATTGCTATCTTTGCTGTCAACATCTATGACAGCATCTAAGGTCATTTCTCTCCAGAAAATAAGTCATAATTAAGAATATTATATTCTTATGAGTTAATTGCAAAAATCTCTTTAAACTATAAATAAAAAAATGCATATAACTTTGTGTACTAATTTTTAAAAATAGAATCACCAAAAGCTAAAAATAAACTATTAAAATATTGGAAAATTTTGAAGATCTCAATTTAATTACTCGTTTGGATTAATTGCATAAATTCTCTTAAATAGAATAGTTTGGTGGTATCTACTCTACCTCTTAAAATTAATGGTGAGAGTTCGAGTTCTTAAAATGACAAAGTGAGTATATTAAGTGATGTGCATATTTTTTTCTTGCCAATTTTTTTAGAAAAAGTAAAAAGTAACAATTAAACGGAAGACAATTTAGTAATTTTTGACATATAGGCCACCCACTAGGGTTAGGTTGTTAACCTCATTTGTTATCTCTTTCAATAATGTAGGGTTCATCAAAGCTTAGGTGAACAAAAAAACAGAATTTATGATCTAAAGTTGGAACTCCATTTTGTTGACTCTCTCCAATATATATATATATTAGAACCTGTATTCCAGGCTCAAAAGAAATTTTTATACCAGTGGGCCGGCAAATGAAATTTTTTATAATTCATTAGGTTTTTTGCAATCAATATTATTTTTAGTTACGTATTTGATTAATTAATACAAAAAATAATATTTTTATATTACGAATATTTCAAAACCAAAATGTAGTGGTAGAATTTTAAAAACCTTAAAATTTAGCTGACCGTGTGAGTTGGTTGACTTTGAAAAGAGTAGAGCACCAAAAATTACATCTAAAGTTGCGCAAGGCATGCCTGTGTGTATATAAATATTCAATATTCAAGTATTCAACTTTTTAAATACTATACAAATAAGTTGACAACTCTCTAATTTCTATATGTATATGTATGTATGTATATAACATGAGAATCTGATTAGGAGGATAAAAAAGAGCTGATCGGGATAGTTTTGTAGACTAGCTTTAATTTATTCATAATTCAATTAATAAAACTTTGTTTATTGAACAATTAGTTGACAAAACGGTTATTCATTTTTTTAATATAGAAAAAGTCTAGTCATGATTAAAATGAACGTAATTTACCATTATGTGTCATTCATTGTACTACATATGTAAAAGACCTGGGCTTTGTTTGTTTTGATATAAAATATTTTTTTCATGTAATTTTATTTTATTTTAAATTTTTTTTACTTATTTGGTGTTCGGTATAAATTTTGTTGAGGTTGAAGTCGAGTTCATCGGACGAAATGTGTAAAACAACTTACTGAAAATTGATGAGTAAGTTATATTTGTTAGATATTAATATTTGTTTTTTTCGTAAAAATGTTACGGCAACCAAACAACATAAAAGAAAAAAATATTTTATACCCAAACAAATAGAGCCTTAATACCACACAAGATAACCAAAGTGACCCACTTTTATGTAGCATAAAATATTTGTTCCAAGTTTGAGAATTAAAAATTAATACCCTATGGTTTTCCAATAGTGATTCAAGTAAAAAAAAAAAATTTATGGTGTTCAGGTAATAAAAATATTAAATTTAATGTGGTTATGAAGCCCTAGATGTATATTGATTTGTTCGCCATTGAACCTCTTAGTGAGCATCAAACAGTT